ATTGATGAAGTTAGAACCCCCAAAAGAGAAAGTTCAAGGCAGTGGAAAGAGTACTGGAGTAGAAGCTTTTCTTGCTTCTGCCCTATGTGACCTGTCCCCAAGGTCACATAGGGCAGAAGCAAGAAAAGCTTCTATTGATTTGGGTTTATTTCTTCAACTGCAAAATGAAGTGGTAGAGGTAGATGCGCCTTAAGAATCTGTCCAATTCTGTAAGTCTAACATCATGGTGACAAATATAAAGATGCCTAAGACTTAGCAAATTTAGAAAAAAAATCTTTATAATTTTCACAGTATGTAGTGGTCATACCCTGAATCTGGACAGAAAGCAAAACCTAACTTACTTGGCAGTACTTAGGAGAAATTGCCAATGTCATAGAAAATCTAGATCACTGTTATCAAACTTTAAAGAAAGGCAGTGAAATCGATTTTTCAAATGAAATCCTACATTGAATCCCAATGTCTAACACAAGTAAAAGTCGAAAAGGTCCAAATGAAACAAAGGAGGATGTGTGGACCCCTATCCTCACACCTTCATTCACAACCTCCTGGAAATAATACTATTAGACATCACTCATCAAATTCCTGACTGAATATCCTAGACTTTTCTGTACCTTGTGACAGTTCTAAAATGAGATTACCAATTTCATTCATGCAAGAAAAATTAAGGAAAAAGCTTTCCAAGGAAAAGGAAAAGTATATATGCTTTCAATGGCATTGAAAAAGAGACAATTGTAGTCTATCAGCAATTTTAATTTGAAAAACAAAATAAAATCTAACAGCAATTAATCACCTATGCTACTGTCAACTAGTAATATACAGACTGAGACTATTTTATCAGTGAAAACTTAGCTTCCAAAATGTTTTACTAATTTAATGAGCTAAATTGTAAAATATGAAGAAACTTCTCCAATATATAAATCAATAGAACATAAAATTCTGCTTATAATTTTTATACATTTTAGCAAGACTTCTTTATCCCATGAAAGGTTTTTCCTATAGTCCTGCTTCAGAGGAAAGACACATGTCTCCAAAGCCAAAGTAATTTAGCATATCTGTATCTATCTATCTATATGTGTATATATTTAGATATATATACCCTGTTCTTAACCACCAAAGGGGAAATTACTGAAAAATATTAAATGACCTAAACACAAACTGTCATCTTTGTGATTAATGATAGTGACCTTCTTAGCCCTAGCAAAGAAAAGCAATTGCTCTTTTCATAAAATCTGTCCATTCCTCTACTTGGAAATATCATCATCAAAATCACTAGGATATAGCCTATCAACTTGGACCACAGGTTTCCACACACAAAATGCAATGAGTCTTTGATTATGAGCTCTGCAAAGTTCAAACATTCTTATTAGTAATCTTCATTTATCAACACTAATGTAGATAAGAGAACATCATTTTACCTTAAGGATTACTCTTGAAAACACAGGATTCATGTCATTAATGTATTGAATAATTTATGAACAATGATGTCATATTTTGGGCAAAGTAAAAAGTTACAAAGATTTTTCTGCAAGACATTCACTGCAGGCAACAACTATATATATATATATATATATATCTCACAGTCATTGGTGATCATCTGGCAAGATACAAGGTTTGAATTATCTAGGTACAACCAATGAGATGACACGGCCTATTATAAGGATTTGTGCCTTATAACCAAGAAGGAAGGTAAAAGTCATCTCTGTTAAAAAAAAAAAAAAAAGTCTCTCCTCTATTTCCTGGTCTATACTGACTCTGCCGGACCTTCTGAGGGCCTGACTTGTTGAGGATGAGGTGGGCAAGCCTTCCAGGTACCAACTGGTAGAAAGGCCCCTGGTGTGTTCAAGCAATTGAGTATAATGACTTTCTGCTTAGTGATTAATCTTTCATTTACTTTTCAGAAGTGACCACAATAAGACATTACTGAAAATCAAGTGATGTAAACTGAGATAAGCAGAGGCCAATTATAATGGGCTTTATGAGTTTAGTATTATGCTGCTTTAAGAAGTCCTTGATGGCATTTAAAGATGACATGGTCTAAATTTCAACAAGATCCGTTTTTTACAGAAAAGACTGTAGGGCAGAAAAAGTAAAAGTAGGGAGACTAGTTAGGTGATCATTACAGAAAATCCTAGTGAATGATAGTGGTGGTTTAGACTAAGATACTAGAAAGCGGGAGTAGATAGATTCTGAATTTATCAGTTGTTTCTGGATACCAGTAACCAAATACCCAACCTAAGATGTCTTAAATAAAGATATTTGTATGCTTATTTTACAGGAAGTTTAGTGCCACAACAGCGTCAACGGTTTTATCAAAAGAATCACATTCTTCCGGACTAATTATCTTAGGCCTCAAACTGGAATAGTTGTTAGATAACTGCCACTAGCAATGAAGACTACATGCTCCTTATTCATACCTATAGAGAGGCTTGCTTTATGTGCCTACTTCATAAGCCAGGATTCCTCTTTGCCAGATGCCCCTCGCCGATTATTGGCCCATATTTATTTAAGCCTGCCCATCCATTCATTTGTATGAGAGATGGAGTTATGATTGACTAAAGATTAAGCAGAGCTCACCCTGAACTGGGTATGGGGTTGACTTGCCTTGAGTCACATGGCTTATGTGCAAAGATAGATACCTGAGGGAAAAAAATGAGGATTTGATAGAAAAGAGTAAGGGGGAAATAGATGCTCAGTAGGCAAGCAGGGGTATCAACTACATGGGATAATGCTTTGCAGGTGTTGACATGGCTTGCCACTAGATTAAATACAAGATTTCAAGAACAGTTCTTAAAAGTGTTGGCTTCAGCAATTGGGCAGAAGGTGGGGTATTTACTGAGATGCGAAAGACTGGATGAAAGATCAGGTTTGGGAATAATCACCCATTATAGATACTGAAAGGGTGATCAAGTTGTTAGTGGACATGAAAGTTTAGAACTTCAAGGAGAGGCAAAAACAAAATAGAAAATGAAATCATACATATGGAGATTTTTTTTTAGGCAACTGAGACTGGACGAAATTACTAAAGAGAATGTAGTATGGATAGAGCAAGAAGTAGATACAGGATAGAATCTAGATCTATGCCAAGATTTAGAGTTGGAATACAACCAGAGCCATTAAGGCAGCTAGAAAACTCAAGTCTAATTCCCCAGCATCATCCATGTGGGTAGATGGAGAGTAGCGCAAATTGTTAGCTCTCTGCCAAAAGAATGGAAGATGTGCCCTCTCTCAACTTGGTAACTGTGGGACAGAAAGGATATGGCTATCCTTAAAAAGTACAGGATAGATCATGATATGTCATAAAAAGGCATTATTAATACACCATACAATCTTTCAAAAGAGTGTTGGCTCATTATCATAGTTCTCTAGATTAAACATTTCTAGTGAAAACAGGAAGGAGACATGGCATCCAGTGGCAACAATTCTAATCCAAGGCCTGATGAAAAATACTGACCATTATTACACCTACAATTTAAATTCAAAACGATTTCAAATGGACTTAAGTGATTACGGAAAATGACAAAGGAAAAAAAACAACCCAGGATTCTAGTCTTTATCTGACACCTATTAGCTATGCAACCATGGCCCCTTTCACTTCCTTATTTTCTATGAGGTGGTTTTCTATTTGATGAAATGTTTACAACAGATAGGCCCTTCCTGCCTGCTTTGGCAGGGCTGTTGTGAAGATCAAAAGTTAAAGAATCTATTAACTTTTGTAAAGTCCCACAAAAATAATTTCCTTCAGCTGCCTGACTTGTCTCACTTTCTATCATTGATGGCTTCATCATCCTGACACCAAACACCAATTTTCAGGTACTCAATCCTTAACAGAAAAGAACACCCAAACTAAATTTTGAAATTTCATTAAGAACAAAACACTAGATAACTAATGAAAACCCATTAAAGCCTCTGCCCAATTCCTGTAAGATTTCAAAATTGTACCTTGCACCAATTTAAAGTCATATGAGGTGGCCAACCTTCTGGGTAATAATCTGAAACTGTCAAACTGACCACTAATATGGTGTCTAAAGATAATCACTGACCAGAGTACCAAGAACATATACATCAAAATATTTCTTCACATGCCACAACAGTAGCATGGTTGCCTGTGCTGCACTACAGGATTATAAATATATAAGATGCTTTTATATTTTCCAAAGTTCTCTTATTCCTTAGTCTATCTGATCATCGAGCAGTTCTTCAGGTAGGCAAGGCAGATTTATGCTTGTCTTAGGAGAAAAACTTATGTTCAAAATCATTTTGAGACATAACTTTCAGGCACCCAATTTTATTTTGGTGTTAATACATCATGTCACATAAATTTTACACTTTAAATTATTCAACAGTTCTGATAATTCTCCTTAAGTAACACATTCAAGTTTGAAAATATTCCTAATAAAAACTATACATTAGCTTCATTCTAAGTCTTATGAGGAAGAATCCTTTACCAACTAAATTATATCTCCCACTCACAAAAGTAGATGTGCCAATGATAATCACTTTGCAGAATCTTAATTATACTAAATGACTGTTATGTAGTACCTGAGAATATGCCCATGTTAACAAAGCATCTTGATCCTACTTCACCAATTTTGACAGGGGACACAGTTCTTAGACTGTGATCAAACCACTTGATTTTAAGTACTAATAATACTCTATCAACTATCAATACTATTATTAATGGCTCAGAAGCTAATTATAGCAATTAAAAATGATTAATATTTTAAAACACAGGTTTTAAAGGGTCACCTTAGAGATGTCAGCAAATGTTTCCTAAGCTTTCAAAATACAGATGAGATTAAGGTTAAATGCAACTTAAAAGAAGTAACCTTATAAATAAGATCAACATTCAATTGATGTGGTTAAAAAAAAGTACTGAATTGGGGATCGGATGAATTTACTGTCTCTATATAATAAAGTCCTAGAAAATCATAAGCAGTCTGAGAAAATTAATGACGAGAGAAGCAAAAGATCGAGACTTCTGAACCAAACCAAGATTAGATCAAAACATTTATTTTTTGTGTTACAAAAACAAAAATAAATCCAAGCAGGTAATGAAATAAACTTTTTTTTTTTAAGTGTCCCATCCTGGGTTCTCTGTCCTAGAATTTAGTAAACAGTTCAAGTTTAGGTTGCTTCAACGCTTCTTCTGGATGCTATGAGGTCTCCATCTTATAACCATGTTTCTCTAGTTCAGCTCTATAATAAAACACAAAAGAACAACATCACTGGACATTCTTCATGATAAAGAAACAATGTTTTTAGAAATAATACAATAAAACAATGAGCCAAGCCTAGGCACCAATATAAAATACTACCAAGTAGCTTTTACTTTATACCCTTAAAAGAAATCTGTATAAGAAGGAAACCAAATGTGAATCAATATAATGCTAATAAAATTCTGCTTTCCCATTAGTAAACTTCTATTTTATATTCCTTACTTTTCTGATAAATCTATTTAAGGAAGAAATGAGATTAACCACTATCTTCCAAGTATCTTTGAAATACCATACAAATAAATGTCCTGTTCATAATAAATATTTAAACAAATTTTAAGAATTATCAACCATATGGCTAAGAAAACAAGACATTTGTCATCAAATTTTTAGGAATTTTATAATCATAATAGGTATTATTGCTATTTGCACATAAAGAATAAACAGACTGCTTTCCATATTGACATAGATCTACTGCTCTGACCAAGACAAAAATTATTAATCAAATTTAAAAGTACATGGGAATTATTCCCCATTAACTATATGTAGACAAAATATAGTAAGTTATAAAATACTAAACAAGATTTTACTTTAAAAATTTTAAGTGTATAAAAACCTCCAAAAATTTACAAATATACACCCTTTAAAAAGATATTTTATAATTTTAATTTATTCAACCTGAAGTTTCAGTCATACTTTAAGAATATCAACTGCAATTTTTGATATGCTTTGTATAAAACCAATGCACAAAAAAGTTTAGCCCTATAATCAATTTCAGATGAACTACCACTCCAAGTATCATCAGTAACTTCTCTGCTACAATTCAATTTTATAGAAGTTCATAACAAAATTATTTCAGGGCCAAAATACGATAAAACATTGTATAAATGTAAAGTATGATTAATGTGCCCTACACCATTACATCCAATAAGATAAACTGACATTTGTTCTCAAGTATAATTTAGGTTGGACACTATCACACTATCCAATGTAAACACAACACAAAAAAATACATGTAGGAATGATGTATAATATTTATTATTCATTTACCCAATGTCACTAAAAGTTTTACAGTTATTTATAATACAAATACTGACCTAAAGTCCATGAATAATATTAAAGCCAGAGATTATTCATATAAAACATTTTTATCTTCTGCTCAGGTGTAGAGGACAGTATGGGCTGGTGGTAAATCACTCATTTAGGAGTCAAAAGATCAGCACAAGTTTCTGACACTACTCCTTCCTTTGCTAAATTTAACCAAAATGCTTCCTTTACCCCCCACCCCCGACCCCTTTCCAGAAGATTAAAATTTTATCTGTTCTTCATGTTTTCTACTTAAAAAGGAAATAATTTTAAAAGTTTCTTAATAGCTTTCTGCTGCCTTTAACAGAATCAATGTAGATTATTCACTTTCTCTTATTTTACAACAACAACAAAAATCCCTGAAAGTCAGCCTACAATTTAGTTAACAAGTACACCAAATCTGTCCAGGTTTGCATCTGCCTTCCTGACAGAAGGTGGTGACTAATTACATTTATAAACTGTTAACAAACACAAAGGAGATTACGATATGCTTCTCTATTTTTGGAGAAGATGAAAAGTTTTTTTGCTAGAATTTAGGACATATAAAAAAATTAAAAGGAAATAAATCGAGGCCACTAAGTACAAAACACAAAACAATACAAACACACTAGTATCATCATCAGCCTGTGGGATGAAAAAAACCTAACAAAGAGATGAGAAAGAAATCCGGCACAATTGGAACAATATCACAGGACCCACAAAGTCAATGTACACGATTTGAAGCAAAAACAGCAGCTTTTCTTTTTCAACAAAACAAGAATAAGACAAATAGCCACTGGTAGGTTTGAGAACTCTTATTATCCAAGAAACTGCTATAGGACAGTGGCTATATTTGACATAGTAAATCAAGAACAATATTGGCTTCTTGGATTTTTTTACGTAACATGTGATGCAAGGTCAGGAAAATTAATCTTACCCATTTCTACTGAATGTGTCTCCAAGTAACTCCAAGAAGAAGTAAAAGTCATTGTTTTTGCTGCTTCTGATACATTTGTTTCTCTCTGACTTTTAGTTACCTGGAGATACAGGTGGCCTTTTTCCTTCTACTTTTACTTGTTAAAGGTAATTACAGTTTAAGAGAAAAACATGGAAAGTGGAAGGCTAAGTCCTTGCTAAGACCTGTAGCTAATAAAAGGGAGATCCAGAGTTGGAACCCAGGGAATCAGAGTGACTCTAGAAAATGTACTGCCTCTCCAAAGTTAGATGGAATTCGGACCCATATACAATATCACAACACAGTAAAACATGTGCTTTACCATGGTTTATAGTATCACATTGAGGACCTCTATATGTTTTACAAAGACTAGGAAGAACATCTTTGCAGGAGACTTGTTAATCATGACAACTTTTTTAAAGTGAAGATAAAAATATTATCTGAGGCTGCAATGTCCAATACAGGAGTCACTTGTGGCTATTTATTAAAGTTAAATAAAATGAAAAATTCAGTTCATCAGCTTCACTAGCTACATTTCATGTGCTCAAGAGCCGTATGTGGCTAGTGGCTTCTGTACTGGATAGGGGAGTTTATAGAACATTTCCACCAATACAATAAGTTCTAGTTTACAGCACTGGTGATATATCAAACCACATGTAGAAAAAAACTCATGACTCAAACAGGGAAATAAAAAGAAAAATCTTATTCACTAATAAAGGTATCAAAATTTATACTCATGGAAATCCACAAACCTAAAGGCAGAACACAAGAGAGAACATAAGAACACTGTGTAGGTGTACTGTATAAACAACAAGCCACAAATAATGTATGAACAATGCTCTACTTCCAAACCAGCAAAAAGGCAAGATGCAGTAGTGGCAAGAAATCCAATTATCAATATATTTACTACTAAAAGTCTCCTGATAAGATCACTGTATTTAATAATGTCTTTAAAGAAAAAAGATTTTATTTATTTATTATGAGAGCGAGCGAGCGCACGCACGCACGAGCAGGGAGAGAGGGAGAAGCAGGCTACCCGCTGAGTGGAGAGCCTGAATGTGGGGCTCAATCCCAGGACCCTGGGATCATGACCTCAGCCAAAGGCTGATGCTTGACAGACTGAGCCACCCAGGTAACCCAGTATTTAATAATGTCTTAGTTTAATTTTTTAAGAGAAAAGTGCTGTTTTCTGACTTTGAAAGACAAAAAAGAAAACCATTTTGAAGAAATTTGACTTTTTTGTAAATAGCAAAGGAAGAAGACTCATTTAGCTTCAATGTAAAAAATTTTCAAGATAACAGAAAAGATAAAACTGATAGATGATTAAGAACTCAGAATGGGGATCAACAGAGTTTGAAGGCCTGAAAATATTCTAACGGCATATGATTCTAGTGAGGGAAGAAAGGGGGGGATGCCTACTAAAAAAAAAAAGAGAGAGAGAGAGAGAAAAGCAGTGTGTTCTCTGACACTGCTCAATTTTAAAAGAATATAAACCAAAAATTAATGCAAAAAGAAAAGTGGCAAGAATTTGTACACACAGAATTTAATCCCAGAATGGATTGAGAGCTATAGAAAGAACAAAAAAGGCTCTGAGAGCCATACATGAATAAAGAAGAATGAGAATAGATCCAATGCTTGGAACAGATGTGATATTAACAGATTTAGAGAAAAAGCGGAATTATTGTTCAACAGCTATTGTTCCTATCTTGTTCATAAAACTGCAATAGGAAAAACATCATTAACACAAAATTGAAAACTAAGGTGAGAGAACTCTAAACTGCATTAAAGTAGTTTAAAACCTCTAGGCTCTGAATAATTACATTTCAGGGTACTGAAAGAATGAAAAGATATAGTCAAAAAACAGAGTCAGCCATTTTGAGAAATCATGGAGAATTGTAAAAGTACCAGAATAACAGTGAAAGGTAAATTGTGCTATTTCCAAAAAGGGGAGAAAGGTGATAGATAAAATTGTTATTAGTCCCCAGAAAAATACTAAAATGTCTTTAGAATGTAGGGCCTTTGAGCCTGTGAAAAATGCAGTGTAGAACAAAAGGTACTGTATCATCATTAAATTTATTATAAATCATCTTTCTTTTTGAACAAATGTACTAAACTAGAAAATTAGAAGACTGCAGAACTGCTAGATCTTGATTTGAGCAAAGTACAACAGTTTACTTAGATAACTCTGTGGCCAAGACAGATACATATGGGTTGAAACAAAATAAAATTAGGAAGGAAGGAATTATCTCTACAACAAATGGCACTGGTATAACTGGATACCTGTTTGCAAAAGAATGAAGTTGGACTCATTTCAAACAATGTACAAAAATTAATTTGAAATGGATCTTAGACCTAAATGTAAGAACTAAAATTCTAAAACTGTTAGAAGAAAACATAGGGATAAATTTTCCTTGAATTTGGCAATAAATTCTTAAAAAGTAGATAAACTGGGGTGCCTGGGTGGCTCAGTTGGTTAGGCGACTGCCTTCAGCTCAGGTCATGATCCCGGAGTCCTGGGTTCGAGTCCCACATCAGGCTCCCAGCTCAGTGGGGAGCCTGCTTCTCCCTCTGACCTTCTCCCCCTCACGCTGTTTCTCTCTCTCTCTCAAATAAATAAATAAAATCTTTAAAAAAAAAAAGTAGATAAACTGGACTTCATCTGAATTAAAAAGTTATGTGCAAAGAACACTGTGAGGAAAGTGAAAAGGGAAGTGAACAGAATGGGAAAAAATATCTGTAAATAATAGGTCTGATAAGGACTTAGTACTCAGAATGTATAAAGAACTCTGACAACTCAATAACAAAAAGATAATCAACCCAACTTAAAAACAGGCAACGGACTTGACTAGATTATTTCTTGAAAGAAGATACACAAATTCTCACCAAATATGTGAAAAAAGGCTCTTCATTAGTCATTAGGGAAATGCAAATCAAAACCACAATGAGATACCAGTCTAAGTTTTGATGAGAATGTGGACAATTTAGAACCTTGATACACTATTGGTAGTAATGTAAAATTGTGCAGCTGCTGCAGAAAACAGTTTGGCAGTTCCACAAAAACTTAACAGAATTATGATATGACCCAGAAATTCCACTCCCAGGATTATATCCCCAAAGCTGGAAATAGGTATTCAAACAAAAACTTGCACATGAGTGCTCATAGTAAAACAGTTCACAGTAGTCAAAAGCTGAAAACAACCCAAATGACCATCAACTGATGAAGGGATAAACAAACTGTGGCATATCACACAATGGAATATTATTCAGCTGTTAAAAGGAATGAAGTATGATACATGCTGTGGCATGGATGAAAAGTGAGAACATTATGCTAACTGTACGAAACTAGACACACAAGATCACTTATTGTATGATTCCATTTTTATGACTTCTCTAAAACAGGCAAATCTATAGACAGAAAGAAAATTAGTGGGTGCCAGGGGCCAGGAAAAGAAGACTGCAGAGTGATTGCTTAATAGGTACGGTGCTTCCTTTTGGGGTGATGGAAATGCTTTGGAATTACATAGAGATGATGGCTGGACAAAATTGTGACTATACAAAATGCCACTGAATTGTACACTTTAAAATGATTAATTTTATGATATATGAACTTTACTTCAATCGATCATATTAGGTAAATTTGTACATGAATACGAAAAAGTACACTTCCATCACCCCAATCTCCATTCCAGTTTGAGAATCACCAATCTTTTGGGTCCTAGCACTCTGGTTCTAATTTCTGCGGAGTTATTCAACATTGGTGGAAAATTAATGTTGATAGAATTAAACCCACAAAAATAAAAAACAGCAAGTATGCTTCTATTTAACTACCTTTGTAAAGAAACTAGAAAGAATAAAAATTCTATGCAATTACACAAAGTACTCATGTTTAGAAACACAGATGAAGGTAAGAGGTTTTCCTTTTCATAATTCAAAAATGTATTTCAAAGATTATCTTTTAAAGAGGTCAATTATCATATGTAAGCTACATATTCCATTCTTACAATTAATACTAAGCTATATAAAATCTGACTTAAAACTTACCGTAACTGATTGGAGAAGTCATCCTCTACATTGTCATCATCCCAATTATCCTCCCAGACATGTGCATCTTCATCTTCATCTAAACCAGCCCAGTCTAAAAACAAAAACAGATGCTGTCTAAATACTTCTCACACGCTATTTCCATAAATACAGAAACTTCAGAAAGTTTGCCACTTAAGACACAATTCAAAACATCTAATACCCTATCTATAAGAAATGGTAACCTTCCTCTCTAGATCTCAATTTATGCTGTCTTGTTCTCTCAATTCTTGAATTTGCAGATAATCTTAAACAGAAGTTAATACAAAAAAATTCTATTTGCCATGAAAATGTATTATAGTTTCAGGAGGATTATTTACTTTCCTGATTTTTCCTTGGGCTAATTTTTATAAGGTCTATTTCACAATCTTCCAAAATACAGCACTAACAATGCAAAAGCAAGTTGAGGAGCAGGAAGATACCAGCCTGGAATTTAAAACTTCTAAACATAAAAAATGATTAAGTCATACATAAATAAAAAATGGACCAAATTATAAGCATCACTAACATCTGCCTATCATCAATATAAAATTTTTATTTTTAAAGGGAGGACAAATATAAATATGTACAAAGAGGATGTTGTAGTTTTTAGTTTTCTCAATTTTCTTCTTTTCTTCCTTCCCTTTTGGTGGTGGGGAGGGGGTTAAATTTTAGCTTTTGTTTAGAAGACTCAGAAAACATATATAAACTAACATCTCCTTCCCTATTACCTCAGATATTCACATTATCATTTCTTACCTATACAATGGCAATATTCTTCTATCAGGTTCTTCTTGCTTCTACTCTCTTGATCCTGATAAAAATCTAGCCTTGTGGATGATAATGTCATTATGTATTTTTTTTAAATGACATCAAACCATCCCAGAAGACAGTTTATGCATACTTTGCTGTCCTACTTAAGATGTACCACCTGCTATAATCTTGACATAGCTTTGTTTTATTATAAAAAAATTTATGATTTTGTGTGATATACTTGTTTTAAAACAAATATTTTTAATTATTTAAATTTAAATTCACTGATGATTCACTCACGTTAGTCATGCAGCTTGAAGTACTCTCTTATACACATTTCCTCCTCGTAAAAAATAACAGTGAAGAGCAATCCACATGATCTTCATTTTTATTCAGTCCTAACTTTACTTGTTTTGAAACTGCTTAAAATTTTCTATTCATCAAACATGCTGTTCCTCATCTCTTTGTCTTTCTGCCATCTTTTGAACCTACTAGTTGGCCTGACATATACTTAATTAAAAAACCTTAATTAGTTAAAATACCATTCCCCATTAAAAGGAACTATGGCTCCCTGAAGAAATGGGTGATCTCAGATCTGGAATAAGGAAGTTAATAGGTAAGTTAAGGATTCCTTTTTATAATGCCCAAAAACATGTCAAAAGGTACAAAAACTGGCTTTCAGGTGTTTCCACTGGCCAAAGCTGGAATAACTTAAGAATCACAAAGAATGACACACTGAATTAAATGTAAAAAATCCATGAGTCCATAGCAATATGCTGGGGGGATGGGATGATGGGGAGGGGATGCTCTTTACAATTCCCAGGTATATAAATGCAGAAAGAATGACAGAATTAGAAAATTACCATTTTGCAACCCTCAGTACAATTCAGGCAAGGATCAACAATGGACACTAAAACTATTGAGTGAAAAATAGCTGGGACTACAGGATAGATTACATACTTATTAAATGAGGGGAAAAATGGAGAGATCTGGTAATCACAATCTTAACCAATGATTAAACTTAACATCACCAATAAACTTTGACAACCTGACATATATCTCTTGATGTAATGCAGTGAGAAATAAACATCACCTACGTAGTATTCACTAAAAATGCTGACCTTTAATCTAATCATGAGGGAACTATCAGGTAAATCCAGAATGTGAAACTCTTTATAACTGGTATCTTCAAGTAAGCTAATGTCATGAAAAACAAAACAAAAAAAGGAAGGGACCATTCTGGATTGGGGAAAAAAGTGACGAGACATTTTCTGGAACAGTTGGTAAAGTCTGGATATAGACTGTGTATCTGGATATTATTGAATTAATGTTGATTTTCTTAAACATGATCATAAGATTGTTTTAGAGGGGCATGTCCCCCCTTAAGACATGCATGTTAAAATATTTAAGAGCTGTTTTGTCAACAGTTTACTTGCAAGTGGTTCTCAAAAATATTCGATATATATCATATATATTTCTATCATATATGATAGAAATAAACATGACAAAATGTTAGCAACTGATAAACCTTAGGTATTTGTTGTCTTTTTTTAACTAAAGCACAACTGACATATAACATTACATTAGTTTCAGGCATACAATATAATGATTCAGTAATTGTATATTTTGCAAAATGATGACCACAGTAAGTCTAGTTAATATCCATCACCATAGTTACAAATTTTTTCTTATGATGAGGACTTTTGAGATTTACTCTTAGCAACTTTTAAATATGCAATACAGTATTATTAATTATAGTTGCCATGCTATATACAGTACATTCCCACGACTGACTTATTTTGTAACTGGAAGTTTGTTACCTTTTGACCCCTCATCCATTTTGCTCATCCCCTACCTTGTCCTCTTTTTAAATACTTTTCTATAAGGTTGAAAGTTTCAAAATTAAAAGGTGGGAAAAGTAGTTTAAAAAAAATCACTTTGGAAATCAACTCTGGAAGCCTTCCCTATGCCCATCTCCTCCTCCTTACCCTCGGAGATTAGGTGCCCTCTTTTGTCTCTATCTCTATTAGAGCACCTACATACTGTACAACCATAATTATCAGTTTATATGTCTATGTCCATTACTGGTGTCTGAGCTCCTTGAGAGTAACAACTCTGTGTTATTTACCTTTGTATTCTTAAACTACAAACAGTACCTAGCATCATGCACAACAAATGGCTATGAAAAATAAACAAAACTCTTAGATCACACCTTGTATATTGTTGTAGTTATAACCCCCTCCCCTCCCAAAACAGTGAAGTTATACTCTCTCTTAATTATGTCCTAGGCATAAGTTTCACCTTAGTAATTACTTATAAGAGACATGGCTAAGAACATTTCAACTTGAAAAGAAAAATAACAAAAGGTACAATTTAGGTATTTCTTATAAAGTACATATAAACTTAAATCTATTCAACAATCATTCATAATATGGTCATATTATTCATTACGTTATATACCTAACAAAAATTTCTGAATGCAATACATGTCATCATCATGATTTAAGAATAGAAGAAAGTACATCTATCTGGTCCCCCAAGACAGAAACTTAGGAGGCTTCTTAACTACTCTTTCTCCTTCAACTACCACAATCACTCATTATGTCCCTTCCATTTCAACTCCCAATTATCTCCAGAATAAGTCTCTCCTTCCCTATTCTTACTGCCACTTATTAATTTAGGATTATTCCCTTCATAAATATTACTGTAGTCTTCTTTCTGTCCTCTCCTCCCCAGTGTTACACAGTTTATACCATTCCTCCACTGATGCCTAAAATGCAACCGCCATTCCTGTCCATTACTATTCAAAACCTTCAGGGAGGAACCACATTTTATTAAATCTGCAACTCCAATGCATACAGCTGAGTGCCGGGCACACCACAGATGCTCAATAAAACACTGGGTAAATGGAGCTATACTTCTCAAGTGCCCTTCAAGTGGTCAATCTCAAGAAAACAGAGGCCAGTGTCATTTCAGTGAAGCCAAGAGTATATATTTCAACATAGAAGAGATCAACAAGATTATTATGAACTGGTCATGTAAAATTCTCAATTATATTTAATAATGTCTTTGAGAATAGTGATCATTTCATCCAATGCTCCCCAAGGAGAGATCATGGGGGAAATTTAAGACCCCAGTACCTGAAAAGATGAAAAAGTTTCTCTTAGGCAATTCATTTCAGGTTGTTAGGAAGCTCAGTCAAATGTATACCCAACTTTAGGAGCACCTGGCTGGCTCAGTTGGTAGAGCGTGTGATTTTTTTTTTAAGATTTTATTTATTTATTTAAAAGAGAGCACAAGCAAAGGGAGTGGCAGAGGGAGAGGGAGAAGCAAACTCCCTGCTGAGTAGGGAGCCCGACTAGATCCCAGAACCCTGAGATAATGACCTGAGCTGAAGGCAGACACTTAACCCACTGAGCCACCCAGGCACCCCAGAGCATGCAACTCGATCTCAGAGTCATGAGTTCAAGCTCCACATCGGGTGTAGGGCTTACTTAAAACACACACATACACAAAATGTATATCCGACTTTAATTATTGGGTATATAGGCAGTAAATGTATATTCATTAATAAAAGCTCTCAATAATCAAAAGTATTTTTACCCACATAAATTTTCTTGTGTATCTCAGCAATATTATTTTCAAAGAGAGAATACTATAATTACCTAAATTCATATCCTACGCTATTCTCTGAGGTCCTTAACAACAGTAATACTTAACAGTAGTATTAATTACATATCAATATTGACTGGGCTAGAAACAGCCTTACATTTTCTATAGTACCTTGAAACTCAAACTGAAAATTTTTATTCTGTTTGTGAAACTAGCTATATTTTTATAATGAGAGTAAAAAAGTTTAAAAAAAAATTAGGGAACCACATTAAGGATTTCCCTTAGTCTGTGGAAGTGTGATCAGAAACTGCAACCCATTTTTATTTTTTTAAAAGATTTTATTCATCTATTTGAGAGAGAGAGAGAGAGTGCACACGAGCAGGGGGAGGGGCAGAGGGAGAAGCAGACTCCCCGCTGAGCAGGGAGCCCAATGCAGGACTCGATTCCAGGACCCTGGAAATACGACCTGAGCTGAAGGCAGAGGCCACCAAGGCACCCAACCCATTTTTACACACACACACACACACACACACACACACACACACACACACTCCCAAAGCTAAAATAAACTGAAAAAAAAATTTTTTTGCACCTTTATAGACTAGAAAAGTGACTTAGTTAAGAGTTAATCATTTGGTATTGGGATAAAATAGTACCATTAATTCTCACATTGCTGTTGCAATCAATAATAAACCTTTCACTATATACATT